CCTCCATAACTCTTTCTAATTTAATCTAAAAACAACATTCGCATAAATTTATTCTAGATCATCATATGAATCCAAGGGTCTATGAGTACCAAATATATTCCATAAGGGGGTTATAACCAGTATATGGGCCCTCAACACATAAAAAATTGAGAAAGATGTGACTTCTTATGTACCATTAGATGCGCCTCAAAACGCTCTACAAAACCATATATATAGTGTCCTGGCTCTAGATATGTCACCAAATCCGGCAAGATCCTTCACTACTGTGTGAAAACTAAAAGACTTGTGCTAAATAAGAATTATTTATTTTTATAGCATTCAGAACTAAATGCTAGCTTGAATATATATTTGCATTTTTGAAGAAGAACTATCTTTCTTCTATGCATTAAAAATTCATTGAGTTCAGGCTTTTTATGTAATGACGCGAATATTTCAGATTTCACTCATTTTAACTTTGTAGCTTGTGTTTATTTACATGTCAAAACTGACTTGAGTTTCATTGAGATCAATTAATAGGATTGAACTCATTTACTGAACATTGTTTTCGCTCTCTCAGAATAGTCTTAAAATTTGTCTTAAATGATATAAAGTAGTGATTACTTTTATCTTTGGAAAAACTATTTTTTTTATGATAAAGTTAGGAAGTTTGTCTGGGCATTGCGACTAGGATGCATTTCTTCTGCTAATAACTAGGATTACATGGTCCTTTATTTCATTGTGATCACTGTAACTTATAATACATATATGGCAAAGTATGCAGTATCAATTAGAGAAAATATTTTACATTTTGGGACGTATGATGACCCAAAAAGAGACGCTGGCCCTTTTTTATCGTAAGAAACTAATAAAGATGTAGTTTCATGGAAAGACTAAAACAATTCGATAAAATAGTTTAAATAAAACGATTGATACTCATAGATGGTTGAAAATTCAACATTGATAGACGAATGGTGGGTAGCTTTAGACTCATATGGCTTTTTAATCGATTCTTTGATTAAAATTCAAGAAAACCGGATGCACAAAAGTAAAACCAGAAACACTCATGAACAATTAATTTTTTTCTGTGTATATGGAAGCAATCATAAAATGCGCATAAAATTCAATCAAAGATTACGCTATTTATTCATAATGAGACAGTTCTCAGCATGACTATTTGCTTAGATATATGATGTTGGAAATCTGATTTACCTTCAAACTTTGTTAGGATACTTATTTCGAAAAGAAAAATGAAATGATGCAGTACTATATTTAATATCAGAAAAAACACATCAGAAAAAGAACTTAACAAACTTGCCAAACATGAAAAAAAAAAGTTAATCATTTTTTGATCAATCATCACTTGCAAGAACTTCCATCTCTAGACCATTTACTTGACTTTCCACCTCCGCATCCAGTGTAAAAACAAAGATAAGAATTAATGTAATAGCACAAGAAATATTTGTCCACTATAAAAAAAAGAAAAAAACAAACGTTCCTTTAAAAAAAAATTATTTTTTTATTCTATTTGAAAAGTTTTAAAGACTTAAACTTTTTTTCGTCAGGACATATAAAGGAATCTCTTTTTATAATTTTCTTCAGTAAATTAAGTCGTTCTATCGTAAAAAAAAGCATTAAACATACTATGAGAGAAAAAAAGCTCCGTTTTATTTTTTTTAGCTTTTGATGTTTAAATTCACATCTATAATATAATATAATATTACCAGTTGTGCTTCAGGTAAAATTTCACTACCAATATCTTCTTTTTGAATATGTACCCATTCACCCAGCATGGCATAACTACCTGCATAAATTATACGAACCACCGTATACTAAAAACGAAAAATAAAGGAAACGAAATTTGAGGAAGATCTATTTGACTTACTCTATACGGATATAAGTTTCTTAGTTGAGTAATTGTTGTTTGAATACCATTATATTTAAAGAAATAAATTGACATGATAATATAAGTTGTTGAGACGTACATGGTCAAAGAACATCTAATTGTAACATTAATACCAATTGTATTTGTACTTATAATCAAAAAAGACACATGCTCAATAACAATGATAACGATGAATAACTAAAAGATATGAAATAATGTCTGAGGTGAGTATGTTCCTAAAATATTTACTAATTCAACAAAAAATATAATTTGAGCCATCCTTTTGGCACTTTGGGGTGAAAACGGTGTTTTGTACACCAACATATTCGAATAATGCACGAATTTAATTTAATTTTTTTTATCGAGGCTATTGTTTTATGATGTATAACATTCCATTACACGATTACATAAGACTCTAATGCTGTACATATTTTCCTCCGATTTTTTAAAATCGATTGGCCGGTTATCACCAATGATCATGCGCTCGCTTACTCAATGAATAAAACAATCAGTTAGAATTTTCTACAGTTGTCTATGAATACATATTAATTCTATAGTGTTCAGGTTCGAACACATTACGTTTGAAATATATGATGAACATCAAAACTATTGAATTATTGTGGTTGTATGAAACCGACTAACTGAACAAATGATATTACGACAAAACTTTCGAAAAAATATTTGACTTGGCATTAATACATCTCATGTGACTGAAACAGACAAAAATCAGCGATTTGATAATTGAACATAAGTAAGACCAACTTCGTTGGCCGCTGTCAAAAACCTTCATTGTTCTTTTGGACTTAGTAAATATTTTATTAATAGGAATTTGGAAATAATGATTTAATGTTGTCGCTTATTTTGATATAACGGATGTTTCAGAAAAAATGACCCTGTCCACATTTCAACCATATCTCTTATAATATTCAGTAGTTCAGACCATTTATTTTTTAAATTCTCCTTTTAATTCTCTACAAAATAGGATACTTTCTATTACTATAAATAACACCATTATTCTTCGAATTAAAAAAGAACAGTGTGAACTAATGAATATTATAGGAGACATCGTTGAAATATAGCAAGGTCCATTTTTTTCTGAAACATCTGCTACATAACTGCAATAGAACTACCTATTTTGCCTCTAACAATCCTCAACCTCGATGTTCGGTTAGATAAGGTCGAGACCATTTCGCTCACGTTTATTTCTCTGAGATGGTACTGACATTTGCGAACGAACTGACAGCATGAAATACATTGTGATGGTTTATTAAGCTCAAATTTATTTATAAAATATAGGATTTGCTTGATTCTTTCATTCATATTTTTAAATGAAAAACAGTACTTCTCAACGTTGTGAAAAGCCTCAGATAAATTCATAATAATGATTTTATTGTAATGAAAAATTTTAGTTTTCAAAAAAAATAATCAAATCTTCTTACATTAAGTTCCGATTATGCTTTCTTTGAACCACATAACATAACTAATTGTCTTGGTTAAAAATACATTATTTTGAAGCTTCTAACTTTCGTTTTACAGCCACATTGTTGTTTGATTATGGCTATATTGTCGATTCAGAAACGAAGCAGTTGTTCAAAACTTCAATACAGTTGAACTATTTCAATATAAAAGCCATGGAGCTTTACTTAGTTTTGAACGTTTGTTCAAATGGTATCCTAGAAAATTGAGATGATTATCAAACTTTTCTTATATAAGCTCAATAAATTTTTCAAAATAAATTGAAATTTAATTGAAGCTTGCAGACGAGACCTACCATCTTTCCAAGTGAATTTCTCATCAATATGTAGTTGGTTCAATTCTGCATCTAATGATATATATAAAAGACTTCTCAACTATTCGTTACTGACGAAACAATTCATAAGATATAATACGTATCTTAGTTTTGACCGTTGAGAAAAACGAATCGTATAATAAAAAATAAAATAGTCTGAACTTGAAAAATTACTGATCTTTCAGCTTTGTAGCTCTTTCTGACATCTGCCAAAATCATTTTGTGCGTATTTTCAATCGATCATTCTTAATGAAAAAATCTCAAAATAAAAAGTCTCGTTAAGTTTTGTTACAGGCTTTACATGTCACAAAGTATGAAGAAATATATCCATGGTCTCTAAAAACTACTTTTGCTGAAAGTTAAATATGATCGAGCAAAATATCAGCGCAGTCCAGCTCCTTCGTAAAAAGGCTGCCTGGAATTAAAACGCATCAGAATCGAAGATAAATTAAATATATATGATTCTGTTTAACTCTGAATAATACAGACGATTGAAAATGGTTGAAATTATACCGAACTGACATCGTAACGAATTCAATCACTTTCAATCATCTATATTACTCAGGGTTGAATGGAATCATGTATAATTGATTATCTTCCATTTTCTCATGCTTTTTAAATTTGAGTAGCTTTTATGGAGAAGCTAGACTTCAATGATATTTTTTCAGAGCTAATATGTCTTTCTGCGTAATTAGGTTTTGGCGATCGCGAAAAGTATCGTATATGAAGCATATAAAAACAAAATAGTCATTGGAAAAGACAAGAAAAGAGTCGTAAAAATGGTAGGAAATAACTTCAGAGGAAGTTTTTTCCTTTGATCTAACCATGATCATCGATCATCTCAGTCACTGTCGAATCACCACCCCTCACTATTATTGTGTTACATGGTTCTTGCTGCACTTGTTACTTACTATCTTAACTAGAAAAAACAAACGATGGTGAACACCGCATTCATGTAGAGAGGATAATTGATTAATCAAATGAAGTGAAGAAGATGATGCAACGCACAGAACGTAGTAAACGGCAGTCCGAAAGTACAATGTGTGGAACATAAAAGAAGTACTATATATAATTTTTTGTTGCATTCTGTACATTGTTTGTTTTAGATCGCAGTTTACTGCATTATAAAGAACGAACGTCATATAGAGCGATCTGAACAGATGACTGCTGAAGACATCGATTAGTAGAAAGAGAATACGATAAAAGTGTCTCGATAGTTAATCCGACAACGTTTATGCCCGTTCTCTTCGTACGACCCCCATGTTTTCTAGTGCTCTTGTCGACACGGGTAGTTATGGGATAGATTCATTGTGCTTCAAATTAACAGATTTTAATGATCTATGGTCAACAAAGTTTGAAATAAGTTTTTAAAAAGTCCGAAAACAACAGAAATAACTGAATTTACTCCAAGATCACCTAAACGAACAATTCATAATTCTCGTTTTGTTCCATTAAATACGGGCAATATTGGTTGATTATTCTCATCAGTAAAACAGATTTATCGAAAATAAGTATAAGATATAATGAAAAAAGAAATTTTAACTCTTAAACCAAATGACCTATGGTACTTATTTTTCCGACATACCATTGTTATGAGATGCCGCAGATGAGAAAATAGTATTTGCTCATTTTTTAGAACACATACAGAACAAAAGAACAATATGGCAAAGGACAAAGCGATTTCAAATAAATAGTTACGAATTTTTGCTAAGTACAAAATATCGTTTTCATACACTTAAATAGAGAAAATAATGCTCAATCTAACCGTGTTCTCAATTTTTCTTAAAAACGTTCCGTCGAGCTCAAAATAGCTTTCAAAAATACCACTTTAGCAAATCGATCCTATTGTAGAATTCTTTTTAAAATAAAACCGAACTGTGAATTTGCATTAGAGCAAAATAAGTAAACATTATCTTGGCATGTTTATCTTTTTTAAGATACCAAACAAAAATAATAACAATTTTTTTTTAAATTTGCGAAAACTACTAACATGAAGACATTTATTTTGCTGTTGTTTACATGAGTCATTGAGTTCTGTTTGTGTACTATTTCTGAAAGAAAGAGTTGTTCTGTCGCAGAAAATAATATAAGATTAAAACTCGTTTGTCTGTTCTTTTGTGTCAAAGCCAATGAGAAAACAGAACATAGTAAACCAATAGGAAATCACTGATTAACAAAAGAGGACGGTATGAACCGATCAAATGATCATCGTATGTTTATGCGATTTACAAATTTGACAACAAATAATGAAGTATGAAGAGTTCATACGGAGAGTCGTTTTTTTGGGTACTTTCTCAAATTATACATACCTGATGTGCACATTCAGAGACGACGGAAACAAGGGAACCGATTTAACAATTTTATACACGTAATATCTAAATAGAGTGCAAAGTTCCTATGTAAAACATAGGAAGTCCAGGTAGGTGTACGAATATTACGTAGTCAATTGAGCCTACCCAAGCCTAATGGGCTTCGCCGCCTCTGTGCACATTGGTCAGCACAGCGCTGTGGTTAATGGTGAAGGGATAAATGTACTTAATATGAATAATTACCAATTTCTTCATCTATATATTTTATTGTTGTGTAAAATGAGTTTCGCACAAAGGATAGAACTACGCTAGAGAAGCGATTAATTTGATAAGAGTTCAACCAATGTTAGTAGAAAATAATGCAAACGCTAAGAGATTATTAGAATCAATCCCATCATTTTAGTTGATCAAAAATTTAATCTCAGAAATAATCTTCATCAATACTATAACTTATATATTGTACAGGGCGGCTCAAAAGTAACCGGACAGTCTTTGATTACGAATAAATTTTGATAGGAACAAGACAGAGAGCTGGCATTTTCACTGTTCGAAAGAGAAGATGAAGACGCATAGAACTGTATAATATAAGATAACTCGATCTAGTTTTTTCAAGAACTTAAACCGACGTTTTTGAAAACCAACATACTCCGTAAGGTGATTACACTGAATTTTTTTATGATCAGGTGTGCATTCGAACTGCTAGTCGAAAACCTACGAAACTATCCAAAGCCCAGACTTTCAGAGTTACTCTTTCAGAAGTTATACGTGTTCTACTCGAAATTCTGAATCCACTTTTCTATTAATTTCTATGTAAAAATCATTTGGTGCGTTTTTCTTATTTTATAAGAACTCCTTTTTCCAGCAATTTTTTTAGAAAATTGATTAAGAAAATTCTAGAAACAATCCGATGCGTCTTCATCTCCTCTTTCGAACAGTGAAAATCCAAGCTCTCTATCTTGTTCCTATCAAAATTTCTT